CTACTCCATTGTTTGAGTTTAATTTATGACTATGCTGAATTTTGAAAGATGATAATTATAACTCTGATTGAAGAATTGAGATGATTATTTATTGATATTTTTCGCTGCGAATAAATAAAAGAAAGTTTAAGACTTTTGAACATATGAATTGTATTGCGTATTTTTATTTAATGAGCATGTATGATGTATGAAACATGTGACATCCTATTTTGATGTTGTATTTTAGAGATTAATTTACTCTAATTTTTATATAAATTATCGACAGAGAAATAGGATATTACATAAATCATATTAAATTTCACCAAAATTTAAAAAAAAAAAATCGGTATAATTTATGAAATTCTACAATAATTTAAAAAATAAGATAAAACTTAAAAATCGACAACAATCTTTTTAAAAATCCAATACAAATGCAAGCATATATACCAAATTTTTAATAAATATGCTAAAAAATTCGGTAAAAACCTATCAATCACAAAAATAATGACATGCTTACTTTGTGAATAACCAATAAACTCTTCAAAATTCAAAATAATAAATTTTACTTTTTATAATTTTAGTTATTTTTTATTCAAAAAATATTCTAGTTAAATAATCTAAAATATGAGGTGCCAAGTTGAATTTGAATATGTTACGTTGAATCCTCGAGGCTGAACTGTCACAAATTTGGGCCTAATATTGAAATCCATATTAATGAGGCATGTATCATTGAATTACTTGGACGGGCAGCTTTGCAATCCTCTTATAAATCTTGGGGGGTGTATTAGATAAAATAAATTGAATATTTATTCTATTTTTTTAATAAAAGAATATTTATCCCAATTTTAATCTATAGAAAATGATGCATTGAAGAAAAATGTGGTTAATATTTTAAATTATGTATATAAATTAAATTTATACATTAAAATTATGAGGAAAAAAATATATGTATTTGACAATGTAAAATATTTTTATAATATCAATCATTCAGAGAAATATATTCAATCAAGTCACACTTTTAATTAAAAAAATTGATATGACATAACATGATGTTATAATTCTATTAAATAATAATTTAAAAACTAGTTTACATTGACCGTGTCCTATCTTTAATCTCTAAAATTTATTTTCCAAATTAAAATTACAATCATTACTTTCAAAATTATTATTATGACTTGACAAAATTATATTTAAAATGTTGAATCTAGAAAAACTAAATATAAATAAGATAAAATTTTGGCTATCCATTATAAAATTGAGGATAATTTATCTCTCATGAGTTATATTAATGAAATTTTTATCACATAAATTAAAATTTTAAATTATAAAATTATATATTAACCAAATACGTTAAAGAATCAAAATTAAATTAAAAAAAAAAAATTGATTTTTTGAACAATAAGATATTAATATATCAAATGTGAGTAATAATTCTCATATTTAATAAAAAAAGAAATATTAAATACTTTTTAAGTGAGAAAAAACATAAACACAATATTTTTAACACTTTGTTTGAATCTGAAAAGAAAGTAGAAAGAAAGAAAATGAAAAAGCCTTTCACTAGCAGCAGATAACTGAGCACATCCTTGCCGGAGTAGCACTGAATCTAGCCGGGAAAACAGCCGGAGTTGGTCGCCGAAGGCCGTAACAGGTATTTCATTGTTTCAGAAAAGCAAAATTCAGATTTTCGTAAGGGCTCGCTAGGATGCAATTCTACTCCGCATCGCGATTGGAAACATAGGGTTTATCTATTCATAAATTGGTTTGTTCGTTTGATGCATGCTTCTATGATGCATGGATTGACTGAGTGTTGGTATTTGTTGCTCAATCTGCATTTTCATTGTTTTCTTTGGCTTTGTAAATAACAAACTTTCTAGAACTGTCTTCTATGGTTTTTTTTTTTTTTTGGGTCTTGCCTAAGCCCTAACAGTTTTGTCCGCCTGGGGGCATATGAGGAGTGCGCGCGGTGATAGAACTTATGAAAAGGCATGGCATATCCATAAGTTTTATGTTTTCAGCTTAAGTCCATGAATTGTCTAGAATACCTTATCCAAATAACTATTAAAAATTGAGTTGTGTCTAACTCAACCTTACAAAATCTACTTATAGGGGGACGATTGTCCTTTCTTATAAACATATGTTTGAGCAACATTTGTCCAATGTGTGACTCGTGACACACCCCCTCACGCCCAACACTATTGGATATATGTTTAAGGTGTAAGACACTTTGAATGATGAGAATCAATCTCATGAGCACCCAATTGATTCAAGTTTGTTGTTTCCTTCTTTTCTGATATGCTTATATTTTGTATCCTATTACTTCTTTTCTGCCAAAATGTAGTTCTAAATTGCGGTTGCAACTGAGTTTCTTGCATTTGACTTAAATATATAGTTTTGCAGCGTTGTCACAACCACAATTTAAAACGATGCATGTCAATGTTCTTGAGTATCATAAGAAAAAGCATAAAGAGAAAAGATTTTTCATTTTGAAAAAAATTGAAGATGTATATATAAACTTTTGCAGGTTTGAATTGGTTATGATCAACTAGCAAAGATTTGAATCTTAAATGACGATTCTTTCTCTGTTGCCAACAAACTATTCAGGTTTTTTTTCTAACTATATTGGTTTGTTTAACACATGAATGCTAATTTTGTTTCCTGTTTAACTGCATTTTCTTCGTATATTGTAGGTTTCTTTCATCAAGTTACTCCTTTTCTGCAATCGAAGATTCCAGTGAGAATTGGTTATTATCACAAAGATGGTTCTATTACACCACAAACGGTAATTATTTACTCATCTCTCCGTATTTTCCCCTCCTTCAGTCTATTGATTTGTGAATGTGTTTGTAGTGGTTATTTATCATTTCCAATTACATGCTTTGTATTGACAGATTTGTAAAGCCAACATGAAACAAAAATCTTCAAACAATTTTAGCACCAAGTTTGTGACGTCTGCCTCAAGAAATGACCAGCAGTATATGAGCTATGATGATTCGCCCGAGGAGCCCGTTTTGCTAACGTTGATCAAAGAATCCTTATGGTATTTGCGAAACTTCTGTTTATCCACAAAGTGCAGTAGTTTAGTTAATCCCTTGTTCCGATTTATTGAATATGATGATACTAAAATACAAAATGATGTGGTCTTATAACTCCATCGGCGATTGATGAGATGAAAAACGGGATATGAGTTCAGTTTTGACTAGAATCATATTTACAAATAGCAAACTGTTTTTTTTCCAGGGGTTTAAAATCTTTATTTGTGTTTTTAATCGAGCAACCTAGCCAGCTGAAGTATATAGAGTGGCCAAGCTTTAGTAATACGGTATGTCTCATTAGTTTTATTGTTATTTTCAGTTACAAATCATAATGTGTTGAATGATTACTTATATATATATATATATATCTTTATGAATCCTTGACAGCTGAGAACCGCGACATTGACTCTTGTTATTGTGGCATTTCTTCTTGTTGCATTATCGTCTGTTGATTCGGCTCTCAGCTACCTTTTGAATTTAGCTCTTCGGAAGAGCATATAACAGTGGAGTCTTGCTCATGTTACCATTACTATGTAAGCAGTTTACTTATGATGCTTGTAATCTGTTTAGGTCTGTCCTTGTTAGTATTTAATTGTTGACTCATATTGTGAGCTTGAAATGATTAAGCTACCGGAAAGACCCTTCCATTTGTTAATAGGGGCGGATCGAGAAATTATCATAATAGAGAACATGATACTATTGTTGCAAGTTTGCATTGAACCCAGCCCAAAAATCCTAATATGGAACTATTTGCAAAGGAGGTATTTACTTGGACTGAGTCAATGGGCCTTTGTTGCTAAATAAAGAATTTTTTGGGAATGGCTCTTTCCACCCTTATTTGTTCTCTGCCACCATCTTGAAAAGTCTTAAATGTTCTTAGTGTCTGAAAATGCATTTCCAAACACACATTTTTACGCATATTTCAGCATAAATTATTGAGCCACCCTTATTTTGTGAAAAATTAGATGTGTTTGGAGATGCATATCTGGACATACCTTTTTTTACACACATCTTAGCACAAATTGTTGAATCACTCTTATTTTGTAAAATATTGAGAGTGTGGAGAGGGTACTTTTTTTGTTAGATAATGAGGTAGTTCTCATAGTAATGCATTCTAGTGTGATTTGAGTGCATTCGGAGATGGAGATGTATCTCTGGACATAATATTTTTGAATTTTCAAGAGTGTGGGATGTCCATACAAGTATATTGAAAGAATATTTTCCAACTTCTTTTCAAAAAAAGATGGACGTGTCTCCATTGTTATTAGAACTTTTAATAGTCTATTTCATTTCTGAATTTTAATCTTCTCACATTTTAAGACAACTCAAGGGAAGTAGAAAATGAATAATCTTGCAACTATTTTTTCTAATATAATACAAATAATAAATAGTTTGTAACGTTTGCAATGTATTTTTAAGAGTCCAATTTTTTTTTATCTAGTAGTTTAATGGCTAGAATGTCATCATCTAGATGTTTTAGATTTAATTTTGTACCCCTGTAATAAGATGTCATTGTACATTTACTCAATTAAACTGACTTAATAATGAAAAATCTAAAATGTTATTTAATTAATTGTGTATTCTATAAAGCATTTTAGAGTTTAATTAAATCTTATTACATTAAAAAATAGTAGATAATAATAATATATAATAAAAAAAGTTTCACCAAAGCACATAAAAAAATCATTAAGCATAAAAAAAGTGTCTGCATAAAAACAGATAGAGATCAAACAACCAAAAAATAATCATCTAATTTTTGACTTCATTCTTTTTATACTTACACCTACCCTTATTGAAACGAAGGACTCAAAAAACACATTAGGTAATTAGAAATAACTAACTTTCACCTCACCCACTTAAAAATTACATATCACACAATCATAACAAACTCACAAATATCAAAGAGATGGGCAACCGTCTCAACCAAATTAAAATTGAAATTGAATGCTTATTAATAAATTTAAATATTGTGATGATAGCTTAAATGATTACAATTATAGTTTCTTATCATATTTTTGACTTCATTCTTTTTATACTCACACATATGTCTAAAGAAAGGAAGAAATCAAAAAGTATATTAGGTAATTAGAAATAACTAAATATTCACCTCAATCACTTAAAAATTCTATATCACACAAATAACAAAGAGATGAACAATCATCTTAACCAAATTGAAATTGAATGTTTATTAGTAAGTTTAAATAGTGTGATGATAGCTTAAATGGTCATATTTATAGTTTTTCATCAAATTTTTGACTTCATTCTTTTTATATCGAATAAACTAATGTTTTTTTTTTTTGTGTTAAGTCTTTATTAATCTTTCAAATCTTGAAAAATGAAATTTGATAAAAAAATAAATAAATTCGATTAAAGATCATTTTAGCCAGAATTTTTATTTTTTTAAACAATTAATTATTAATTGAAATTCAACATTTGAATTCAATTTGAACTCAATTATTTATTTAAACAATCAAATGATATAGCATGAATTTGTTTGTGAAAAAAATCATGTTAAGAATAAAAACAAGATTTTCTTTTGTATCGACTCAAATAGACTTGATTTGTCTTTCATTTTACAAAGCAACAATTATAATTTTTGTGGGCTTAATACAAACACCAATATCATTCGATACATCAATTGAAATATATTTATACTACTTGATGGAATATGTTACAATGATTAACCTATATATCTTTACTATTCTTTCTATCACATATATCCTGATTAATCTATATATCTTTATGATTAACCTATATATATATATATATATATATATATATATATATATATATATATATATATATATATATATATATATATATATATATATATATATATATATATATATATATATATATATATATATATATATATATATATATATATATATATATATATATATATATATATATATATATATATATATATATATATATATATATATATATATATATATATATATATATATATATATATATATATATATATATATATATATATATATATATATATATATATATATATATATATATATATATATATATATATATATATATATATATATATATATATATATATATATATATATATATATATATATATATATATATATATATATATATATATATATATATATATATATATATATATATATATATATATATATATATATAATTCTTTCTATCACATATATCAAATATCATTAACACTATATTCAGTAAAAAAAGTAAAACAAATATATCCTAATTGTCAAATTTGAAAATTTACTTGTTGGACAGGACTCTTTCAAATAATTTTTTTATGCCCAACAACTCTTTCAAATAACTTTTTATTAACATAAAATTCAAATTCAATCACATTCATTATAATCCGCTTTAATTTATGTAAATTTTGAAAATTCACTTGTTGAGCACGACTCTTTCAAATAACTTTTTTATTAACATAAAATTCAAATTCAATCACATTCATTATAATCCACTTTAATTTAAGTACTCTTGCAACAACATCTCTTCAACTTCAATGTTAACAGGTTCCATAGTAAGCACATATATTTTGTTAAACAATTTTAGTGGTGACGCACGTTTGCTTATGTTGCTCTTAATTATGAAGGTGATTAAGTCTACAACTAGCCAGCTGAACTAAAAAAAAAAGTGAATACAACCATCCATAATCACGAGTATCAATGTATATGTATATTTGTTGAATTTGTTACAGGGTTGTTGGACTCTAAGGAGATGTCCTAAAAAATATATTATATATGAATTTTAGATAAATTCCTCGAAGATTCAGATTGCCTTGATATATTTTAAAAATTCCAAAATAATAAATTTTTACTTTTATAGTTTTCACTTATTTCTATTCAAAAAATATTTTAGGCAATTTATTTAAAATGTGAGGGTGCCCGTAGAACTTCAGAGAAGTTAGGTTGAATCCTAAATCTCAATGTTGAATTATAACACGTTTGTGCTTGATATTGGCTACCAATTAAGCATGCATGATTGAATTACGGGATGAAATCATTGAAAACCTCTTCCAAAATTTTAGATGAATTTTATACGTAGACATATTAAATATCATATATATACAAATGAAATTCATTATATTTTCAAATTTAAAATTATAATAGTCACTTTCTAAATTATCATTATTATCTGTCAAAATTAAATTTATAAAATTTTAATTTGGTAATACTAAATTTAAATAAATAAATAAATCGTGAAAAATAAAAATAAAATACATGGAATTGAGTTTGTGATGCATTTCATTTATAAAAGTGATTGTACTAACGGATATTACTGTTGTAAAAAGCCCAATCTAATCGGAAACGCTGCTGGTCATTCTGACAACAAGAAAATCCGTATAAGTATTTTATTTTTAGAGAAATAAAAATAAAATTTTCTTACCCCTCCATTAGGTCTCAATAGGATGCAATTCTACTCCACATTGCGATTGAAAACATGGGATAATATATATTAATACGTTTTTTTTATGCATGATTCATGGATTGATTGATTCTTGGTATCCATAAACTGTCTAGAATAACTTATTCAAATAACTATTAAATTTGAGTTGAGACTAACTCAATTTTACAAAGTTGGTTTGAAAACTGAAGATTGTCTTTAGTTATAAACATATTGATAAGTGGTATTTATACCGCTTATTGAATGTCTTTATCAATATTTTTTATGTTCTCGTTTCCTTGTTTTATTTCTCTTTTACTGCTTTCTAGTACGGTTTAATGTTTTCAGTTAATAAAGAGTGTCAAGAGTCAAAACAGAATGAAAAAGAACCAAAACATGCAAGAAGAGGAGTCTCTAGTGCACAAAATCTGTGGCCAACACAGTTGAACCGTATCCTCAGACACGAGCCGTGTTGGCACAGATGCCCCTCCCATATGAAGAAGTCGTGGCCAATACGGGCTTTTCGTGTCAGTTGACACAAGTTGTGTTGGTCCCAAAACCATCCATATATTTCATTAGAGGACAACAAGGGTAGGTCGTGTTCCCTGATGTCACTATGCGAAAAAATATAGAATCACCACCTAACTTTATTTATTTCGAAGAAAAGGGAAAATATCGAGAAAATCCCTGAAAGTAAAAGAAAATGGTCATCACAATCAAATTTGGGTTCGACAGTTGATTATGCAAGGGAAATATATTAGCACTCCTCACATCCATTGTACTTAATGGGAACCGTTTTGAATATTTTCCGTGTAAGGATGTTGTTATCTAAATGTTACTTGATATTAATTATTGGTTTTAATTAAGGTAAAATTATAAGTTATTAATTAGTATGCTCGTCAATATTTCGGAATCATGTGCCTACGTATTCTCATAGTGCAATGAGAAAATCAGAGCTTTGTAGTCCGCAAGGGTTGAAAAATAGTATTTATTGGTTGTTTTTATCTAACAATGTTAATGTTCACATTTTAGCAGTTAAACATAACTTGTATGCTCGTGCATGGGAGGCTTAAGTGTTGTTTGTATTGCGGTAGAACGGA